GATAGGCAAGCTCGCCCGCACCTCGCACTCGAGTGGTACAGTATAACTACAGCGGAATGTTTCGGTTGATTTTGTAGCCGCTGAAGGGATATCAGCAAAGTGTCAGTGTCCGAAAATCTGGTCATGAAAATCTTGCACTGTTGTACGATGTGGCAACATGGTCAGTCACACCTTCGACCTGTTCGCTCGCTTCGCACCCCCAACACCGGCGAGCGAGATCCCGTCTGAGGACAAAAGGCTCCCGTGCCCCCTGAGCTGAGGTCGCTCCGTGCTGAGCTGTCGATACGCCGGAGACTCGTCCACAGGGCGGTCCGAGACACGCAGCATTCACCAACGACCACCGCTTAGCCTTCGGCGACTGAAAGGGAAAATGATTTTCCGAGTGACAAGGTCATAAAGATGGGAGATCTTGTTGCCGAGTTGGTCGTAAAATCCAAAGGGATCGCAGTTATGGCCCTACGAAAGATGCCCCGTTCTGCCCGCCGCTGCCTCTCCCCTGCCTCGGCGTGCCCGACGACGTCCACGACAGACACCTGTGACGAAAAAGGCCGCGGTTCGAAGCGGAGATATTAAAACATTGCAGTCCGACACGACACGTACAGTGAAGGTGAAACGAGGCAACCTGGAGTCGGTACTCACGAAGTATACCGCTGTTTATTTACTTAAGGCCATGTTTAACCTTACCACGTGCTGGCTGAATACTTGAATACGGACCTGAAATTCTTGCCTATCTGCTGGAGTTTACTTAATTACAGAGTGCCGGGTTTATCTTTGAGTGCAGTCCACTGTACTTAAGGTGCAGTCGTGGTGCTTCCGATCCGAACCGAATATCTTTGCGACTTCACTTTGTGGAACCCAACAACAGCAGAGGGCGGCAACGTCAAACAGCCATCAACCGGTCAAATGCGGTGGCGCGGCGAGTGAAGCAAGACGGTAATGTTCACTGCGTACGTACGTAGGCGCCACCCACCGCCACCGCGCCCGGTGGGTGCAGCGCCAGCAAGCGCCGGGGCCCGCCAGGGGGTGGGTGCGGCGGCGGCGGCGCGGCGCGGAGGACCCGAAGGGCCCCTGCTCGGCTCGGTTCGGCCCGGCTCGGCTCCAGCGGAGCGGGGCTGGGCTCACCCGAGGCTCGCGGCGGTGGCGTGGCGTGGCGCGGCGCCGTGCGGCGCGGCGCGGCCCGCGCGGCCCGTTTCAACTCGCCTCACTCACTCGGTTCAGTTGCAGGGGGAGCTTCGGCGGCGTCGACGCCTCCGGACGGACGCCTTGAGACTCGTACACCTCGACCCGCGCCGCCGGGACGCCCGCCGCGGCCGCGACCCGTTGTGACGTGCTGCAGCACGCGCGCGCGCTGTGCGAGGGGGGGACGTTAAGCGCTAGAGCCCGCTGAAGTGTCAGTGCCGTGTGTGTATGTGTTTGTGTGGAGGGTCAGTGTCACACCCCCCGCGGCGTGACGGGCCAGTGTCTCTGTTGTGACAGTGAGCGTGACAGTCACAGTGTCGGAGGCCCCTCGCTGGGCCGGGCCGGGCGTGCAGAACCCAAGCTACGGATTAAGTCGACGACACCGCTCTATGGAATAAGTTCAAGGTGAGTGCGACCAAGCAGTGGTGGTGGGGTGTGCTTCGTGCGCCCACTCAGGTTATGCCCGGCGCTAACCCCGCGCACGCTCCCCAGGGCAAGCCTTACCTACGCAGATGCGACGCGGAGCCCCGCGGACTCGGTCTCGCACACTATGGGGTTGTCATGTAAGCCCGGAGCATCCTGCCTGAGCCTAGAGGCGTTGTCGCGGTCCTGGGCGTCCTGGGCCCTTGGTCCCCCGCCCGCGAGCCCCTGACCCCGTTAAGCCCTGCCCTGCTGGCCGCCCTTGCGCCCTGCGGCCACCCCCCGCCACCCCCTGCGCCGCAGGCTGCGCCCCCAACCCAACCCCTGCAGCCCCCTGACACGCTCCAGCTGGCGGGACGCTGCTGCAGACACGGCTGCTGCAGCCTCCCGGGTGGGGGAGGGGCGTAAGCTAGCGCAGAGCTCCTCGTGAGGGACATTAGTGCACGAGGGGCGGGAGCGGGACCACCGGGGCCGGGACCACCAACGAGCAGCCTCACGCACTTGGAGAGGTTATGTGTGGCCCAAAGTGGGAGGCGCCGCCAGCAGCAGTCCAGTCCGGAGCGCCCAATCGATGGCAGGGGGGTGAGGTTGGAGGGGGCGGGCAAGTCGCACGGGATCAGCTGATCTGTTTGCAGCCCGCGCGCCGCCCATGAGGCCCCTCTTTACAGTACGCTCCCTGCTGCAGGCTACATCCACAGCTTCGCCTCCTCCTCCCCTCGCCGCCCCACCACCCCTCCAGGCGGCAGCCAGCGTTGCCAGATGACGAGAAGGACGTCGCCGTCGCCTCCTCCATCCGCAGCCGCCACTCTGTGCTGGAATTTGGGTGGGAATGCACCGAATGCGTCCGCATGTTCAGCTGGCCGCTGAGGAGAGAAGCCGGGTCATGATGAAGGGCAGCAGCAGCAGCGGCAGCGTGTTTGCAGAGTACAACAACACACACGTACACACACACACTCACAGTCGTAGTGGTAGGATGATGTGCGCGGCGCGGGCCAGCGGGGCCAGCGCGCGGAGCCCGCATCCAACACAAGTATGGTTTGTGCGTGGGAACAAGTCCGGCTGAGGCTGAGGTGGCGGGGCGGGGCGGGGCGGCCTGAGGATGAGGCGCGGCGGCTCATGAGCGAGGCGCCCCGCCCCGCCCGGCCCCGCCGCTGCGACCGCGAGCGGATTTATAGGCGACGACAAAATGTTTGTATTCGTACAGTGTCGTACAGGAGGTGGAGGTGTTGGTGGCCGGGGCTGGTCATCGGCGAGTTGTTTGTCACACCACACGGTCGCCGCCGGAAAGATCCGATTCACACGACTTTTGCATCCGCGCATCCTCCTCAGTGCTCGCGACACTTTACCCTTGGAATCGACTCGGGGCGCAGCCAAGCCGGTCGTGCGAGTGCTTCTGCTGGCCCTAACTGTTTGTTGGGAGTGTAGCTGTAGCGTAAGTAGCGTGATCATGTGCGTCCTCGGCTCCCCTAATACACCTCGGTTCCGATGGGCTATCCATTTTCACCGCTCACTTAGTAGGCATTAAAGCCGGGAGCGATGCGGGGTGGTATGGGTGAAGGGAGAGGGAGAGGACGGCCAAGTTTTTGATGTCGGGTTGTTGGTTGGTTGGTTGGTTGGTGGTGTTGTTGTTGTTGGCTGCTTTCGCTGATGCGTGCCTTACGCGGCTGTCGGCGGGGCTTAATTGATCGTGTGCGTGTGTGTCTGTGTGTGTGTTTGTGAGTGCACGCTCGCGGTTTTTTCTCTGCCATGCTCCTCTCCAGCTCATCTTCTAGCCCCTCTCTATACCCCGGCAGCTGCGCCTTCCCACTCAGGTCGATGTATCGATTGTGTGTGTGAGGTGGACGCCATTAGACGCGCCGTGTCCCGCCGCGACCTTGAGGGGCAATAGCGTCGTAACAATCAGGGGCGTCCAGAGAACGATTATGAAAGGCACATCATGTCATGTTCAAGTTGACTCAGAACCTCCCTGTTATATTTCAGCCTGCTCGCGCTGCCGCAACGTCAACCCCTGCTTAGATTGCCCGACAAAATGGCAAGCGTGTTCAACCTTAATCGGTTTCCCAACCGCATGGTGGCCCACGACGACACCCACGAGCTAACTACGTACACGATATGGTTGTCACTGTCTAGGAAGTGCAGTAATAATGCCGAGTCCTGGCGATGCCGCGGCAGCAGGCAAGAGCGACTTGTTTCATTTCTTTACGTCATCCATTTAACGCTCCTCTTCCTTATTCCTTCCCCTTTCCCCTTTTCTCCCTCTCTGTACCCTCCCACTTTGAGGCCCTTATGACCTCCCTCCTCATTTCAGGTGACGAATTGACCTCCTGAAGTCGTGAAGCATGCTGAAACTGAAGCAACGAACGACGACCCTCTCTCCTCCCCCTCCTCCTCCAACGGCCCCGCTCCGCCTGCTGGTTGAACTCAGGAAGTCCTGCGGCGATGTCGTCGCACCCCTTAATGGCGCCGTTCTCCCGGGTGGCGTGGCCAGGAAGGTCAGGTCGCCGCCGAGGAGGCGCTGGCTGCGCTCTGCCTCACGCGACCGCTGCACTGCACAGCCCCGCGATGTTGTTGTTGTCGGCGCGGTGCTCTCTGGAGGCGCACACACGCTCGTCACTCGAATTTCACCAGCCAGGCAGCAGCAGCAGCAGCAGCAGGGGCGGTGTGGCGTGGCGGCGGGGGAGCGCTCGGCGGGCTCCTTCATGTCAGTGGGCATACGGGTCGAATGGGAGGCCTGCCCATGGGGCCTGCAGGCCTGCCCCGCCTGCCCGCGCACACACACGCGCGCGCTCGCCCGGCCGGAGCAGGGATTGCTCCTAAACCCCATGTTTCGCGCTCCAGTGAGCCCCACCCCCTGAGGCTCACGGACGGTCCCCGCGGCGGGCCGGAGGCTCCCATGTGTGTTTACTGGCCGTCGTGGAGGATACACAAGAGGCTTACGGACGCCCCCCCTCTCGGTCCCGCCGACCCGCATCGCGCGAATGTAAGGCATATTTGGAGCGGCAGCCGCCGGGCCCGGTCGGGGCCATCGCATGACGGAGCCCGTCGTACTACTACACCCGGGGCTGTCGTCAGCGGAGAGAGCGGGCGCCCCCAGAACGTGAACATGTGCCCGAGGAAGTCACCAGCATTCTCCCGGGGGGAGGTCGCCCATACCCCATATTGTACTTCCGATGGGGCCCGCATTATAGGGCTGTGTGCGATATATTTTGATATCGCGGTACGATATCGATCAAGCATTGAATCTTGATGATTAGTTTTGAGAAGTATAGCAATATCGAAAATTAAAATTTAAGAATTAAAGAAATCTTGGTATTGAGCGAGCAGTGTTGAGGCGTCATATCTCGCGTCATATTGACGATTGACGGCCTCGCTACATCACGATGATATCCTATCGAGATATAGCGCATAGCGCTGCTCGCTGCAGCTCGAGCCCGCGCGCCGCCCCTTTCGTTTTCGTTGCCTTTCCCACCGCCGGCCGGCCCGCGGCCCGCGGGGCTGGGTCCGAGTTAGCCGCCACGCGGCTCCTGTGCGCGCGCCTCTGGGCCCGCGGGCCCGCGGCGGCCGCCGCCTCGGACGCGGCCGATGCGACCGCTCATCCTCGGAAGCAATTGATTTGGGTTGAGGGGCCGAGTTGGTCGTCGGGGCCTGGCTGGCCGCGGCATCGGGCTGTGACGCCGGAAAAAATCTAAAACAATGAAAGCAAAGGAACTGGGATGAGAGGCAGGTGGGCAGGAGGGGACTGCTGCTCCTGAAGCAGCTGAGAGTCCGCGGCCACCGGTCACGCAGCGGTTTTTTACCAAAACAGAGAAAGTCACTGCAGGGCTCAAATTCGGGGCGATACGAGGCCAGTAAGGCAGTTCTTTGAACCCGCGACAAGTCCCCTGCGCCCTGCTGGTGGAGGGGGTCCCCCTTCACCTTTGCGTGCACTGCACACCGTGATCCCCCGCCTCCTCCCCCCCTTACTCACCGTCGCGGACCGAGTCACACGCACACAAGGGGCGCTATTTTCGTAAGAGAGGGGCTGAAACTTCAACCCCTTTTCGGTCCTTTTTATTTCCCCCCTCTGGCCTCTCTTCCACGTGAGCGTGAGCAGAGGCGAACCGCAGAAAAGCGCCACCACTCGCCACCACGAAGAAGTCTAGGTGTACACAGAATACAGTACTTTACTTTGTGGCGGGAGCGTACGAATACCCTCCCATACCAGGCCTCCGGACACGACGCGGCATCAGGCAAGGCCAGAGCAAGGCAAGGCACGCACTGCGCATAATCAGATGCGCCTTACAATGTATCGGGGTGCGAGAGAGACGGGTGGTGGTGTGCCCGCACTAACCTCCGTCGCCCAGTCTCTCTCGCACTTGTTGGTCCGACGCCACTGTGCATACCGATGAATACCCGATCAGCCCTAAGCCGACGCGCCGCCGGAAACGAAGGTCCCCGGTCCCCCTCTCCCCCTCTCTCATCACGACACGTCTCGCCCAAGAGGAAATCCAAGATTGTCTACCCTGCCAAAAAGAACAACAACCATGCGGCACGGTGGTGGTGGTGGAGGGGCAAGGTGGTGGTGCTGTCTCCTGGGGGCGTTGGCTCCTCCGCCGGCGCGGCGGGGCTCTTCGCCGCTCTTCGCGCCTTTACTTGTCCGTCCGGCCGTCACTTCGGCCTGCTGTCACGTCTCTGATCGATCAAAACGACGGCGGCGACGACGATGTCGCTGTCGTTCGCCGCGCAGCCGCCTCCGACACAACAATGCGAAAACGCCTACAGCGCGCGCTGTATACGCCGCGCCCCGCCGTTGGGAATGGTCAGGGGCCACCACCGCAGTGTGGCTCCGGCAGGCACACCGCCGCAGAACGGGGCGCGGGCGCCGCGTTTTGTCTGTGAGCGATAAAGTACCCGGCTCGTCCGGCCGGCCTTTGTCGCCGTCCTCCGCCTCGGGACTCTTTTATAGGCGAGTGGGATAGACTTTAACTCGTCGGGGGGAAAGAAAG